TTTTTTTGTGATTTTTTTCTGACTCTTCGTTAATTTTTAATGATTATTTTTGTGATTTTTCGCGATTTGTTATGATTTTTTCGTGATTTTTGCTAAGGGTGTACACTGATTTTTTTGAGTGAAGGACCCCTCACGTTGAGATGTAAGGGGCGGGTACTTTCTGTTTGTCTTGCAATATAAAGTAAGGATTGACAATAGAAATAGCAGAAATGTCGGTGACGTCAAGTATCAGTGATGTTCTCTTCGTAAGTTCTTTTTTTAAGGGGGGGGGGGGGTCAGTTAGAAAGCCAAATAACAGCCCCCATAATCTCACCGGAATAACTCACTTTGAGGAGTCATAGAGAAAACTACTCAGTAATATGAAGTAAATTTGCGCCGAGTGCGCTGCTTACCTCAGCAAACCAGGCGACGGGGAGCACCATGCCCTTCCGCAGGTGCGGCAGGTCCTTGGTGACCATCACGTTGAGCTGCAGCCGCGACCTGCCCTGGAGGGTCATACCGAGGCGCTGCGGGAGCAAACAGACGTCAGCGCGTGAGCAGGATGGGTGGCCTACGCTCCCGGGCGGCGGCCAGCCGGGGAAACCACGACGAGCGGGAGGGGGTATCATGGCGACCCAACAGAGACACCACAGGAGTCCACAGGGACACTATTGTACCCCAGAGGGTACAAATGTCACGGGGTCCCCTTGAACTCCACTGGTGACCCTGATATTTTGTAGGGCTCCATAATATAAGACACATGTGCACTGTGCTCACCGGGTGGATGTCGGCGGACATGTCGTGCTCCTCCGCATTGGGCGTCATGCCCTCGAAGGGCGCAGCGACCGCTGGGTCCGTCAGGTAGAAGTGCGGGTACGAGATGAAGGTGGGGGCACCTGCGAGGCCAAATAATCGTAACTCAACATGTGTGAGTGGGGAATCGGAGGATAATGCGTAGGTAACGTGCCCGAGATAGTCCCGAAAGTGATCCGGGGGTAATCTGAGACAAGTCTAGTGGAAATCCAGGGGGTCGACCAGTGGGACGATGGGCTGAGCTCTTACCCGTGCAGGGGCTGGTATCGAAGAGGCCGTCCGCGGCGCACTCGTTCAAGTCCGTCTTGTTGCAGAAGCACAGGTTGTCTTTGAACGTGCGTGGTGAGTTGAACGCGTTCCGGTCCACGATGTAGCGTGCCGCGCGAATGCCCTGCGCCTGGAGACGGACAAAAAAGACACGCACCGTCATCGTCAACGAGTCCATTCGCGACCGTCGCGTCGTCGTCCGTCACCCTGCAAAGTGGTGGACAAACTCACCATGACGTTTTTATCGTGGACGAACTTGACGAGCCGGCAGGCCTCGGGCTTGAAGGCGTACACGGGCTGCCGAGCGCGGATCGTCCTGGGCGGGAAGAGGGACCCGTCTGAGCCCTCGAAGGAGTTGCACGATGCCTCGGGCCAGGCGTTAAGGTTGGCCTTCTTGTTGTAGCGCACGATGTAAGACAGCTTGTCGATGTCCGAGGCCCCCGTCAGAATCGTTATGTCATCCGGTCGAAGTTTCTACGCATTGGAAGTCCAGGGTTTTAATTTGCTATAGGCGTTATGAAGGGTCCAGGCTACAGATTATGGAGAGTTTGGGCAATAATCTATGTGGGATCTCAGCTATAGGTTATGTAGTGTTTCGGCTATACGTTGTAGGGTTAAGACCATAGGCTCCAACAGGATATACGGCTTCACCCTTATCACTAAAACACCACTTACCCCGTTAAGAAGTCCGACCCTGTCCATGGCGACGTTATCGGAGGGTAGAAGCTTGGACATGCGGAAGAGCTCGTCGTCGTAGCCCCAGATGAAGTCTTGGGCCTTGAGGGTCACAAGGGGGCTGTCCATGCGCAGGGTCTTCAGCACCATGGAGACTGGTCCCCACAGCAGGTCCAACTTCGCCTTCGCTCCCTGAGAAACGTGGAGCGTTGGTTGGCGTTTGATGAACGACAGAGCAGGGCAGTGGGGATAATGTCAATTATTTTCCTGTACTTACGAAGAACGGCAGGTTCGGCACCACGACGGTGGCGTTGAGGTCACCACCGGACTTCTCCGGCGTATACTCGTACTTCCTGGCCTCTTTGTAGGCAATCGTGAGACCCTTGTCGTCGAACTTGATATCCTCTCGAGAAATAATTTCCCTGAAAACGGACCACAAAACATTGGTAATTTAGCGATATTCTTCATGTAGGGGCCATGGAAGTTCACGAACTCCCTCAAATTTAAGCGAAAACGAGGAGTACGAACTTGTACGCAAACGGTCCAATTTCATCCAGTTTAAGCTTGAGGCTGGGGTCCTGCTGGAACTCTTCCCAGTTCGAATAGTTCCAGATGTAAACTCGGAACATCGGATTCACCGGTGGCGTCACCCACCACGCAAAAGTGCCCTTATTCTCGTCTAATACCATTTGCTGTCGCAATAAAAAAAAACACAAGATTATCACGAGACCCGGCCTAAAAATAAAATCCGTCGAGATTACTTAACCGGGACACGCTGGCTGTACTCACATTGGCCACGAAGTTGTGGAAAGCGTCCGTGGTCCACATGATACAGGAGCCGCACAGGCTGAACACGCATGCCGCGAGGAGGGCGACAAGACCTGTCAAGTCATGAGGGTGCTTAGCATCGTGACAGAGAAACTACTACGGGGTTACACATATTATGGGGTCCGAAAAGAATCAGGACCCCATTTGAGAGTCTAGGAACCCCACGATACTTTTATCCCTGTCTTCGTCTTCAATCGTGAACGTGAACCAAATGTATGGCCATGCTATTTCACTGGTAAAAAAAGTGAATGGGGCGCAAGTCCAATGGAAAGTCCGAAGGACTTACGCCCTTCTTCACCTCTAATTTGTACCCGGCATCTCCTTACCTCTCCATCTCGGGCTGTCGCGCTTCCTCCGTCTGAGGTTCGCCTCCAAGTCCCCCGCCTTGGCCGACGCAGTGCCGCTCTTGGAGTACTGCTCCGAAGGGGCGTCGGACTCGCTGTGCGACAGAGAGACTCAATCAGGCAAATCTATGACGAGGCGAGGTTCAACGCGTGTTCCTTATATTAGTATTATTGCTAGGGGCTCGCAAAGATAAAGTGAACGACAGGAAACAACTGTAAAAAAAAAGAAACAACACACGGAAGACGCGAGTAACTGTAAATGGACGCGTTCCACTGCACACTTGCAAGGAGCTGGATGAATTCTCGCGACGAGGCCAAACTTGCATAACTCAAACTATAGCATGTCACTGGCTTATTTGGCTTAGAGTTCTGCAGAACTACTTGTTCCGAGTGCCTCAGGCCCTAGTAATGGCCCTGTAATGCCTTTTGATTCTCTTTATCAAAATTCTAAATAATAATGTAAGGGAGGTAGAGGTTGTCGGTCGGGGAACTATTATTGTTTTTGTTTTCATGACAAAGGAATTGTTTTTTCCATATGCATTAAATCTGCTTGCTCCATCCATCAGAACCGAATGCCTTCCGGATCAATACACCGCACCATGAGGTCGCGGCAAAAAATAATACCACTTCCAGACAAGACATACGACGCTAAATACGTGGCGTTACCGTGACATAGCGAGCTCAACGTCACCCTCTTTGCGCGGGATCACTAATCTACTCACCTCCCGCCGCAACACAGCCAGGTCCTGCGACACTCCTTGTCCGTGTGCTTCAGCGTTTCCAGGAACGGCCTTCGAATGTTGCCGACGAACCACCCGGAGTTCTGCAATCAAACACGTTCACAAACGGTCAGCGCCTCTGCCGGAAACTTCAAGACGCACAACCAAACCATCACGGAAAAACTCTCTCGTCGAGGGCAAGCGTCGCCAACGAACACACGAAAAATAGTCACTCAGGACAACAACAACTGCCAAGGAAAACGTTCAATTCAACGCGACAGTTCCACGCCAAACCACATCAATTCTTGTCCTCACATTGACGGGTTCGCGCTCAGCGCACGCCCTCCCCTGCTCCTTCTCGGCCTCGGCTCGCTTGCAGGCGCCCATGTCTCGCGGATCACACACGGCAGTGCACTACAGCTCGCAGCCCCCGGCCCGCCCAGGCCGGCCCGTCCGGGGGCGCGTCCGAGACTCCCCATACGAACGCGGCCCCCGATAAGGTTGACCCCGCTAACCTCTCTTTCCGTGACCCACGCCTCACCGGACACCCGCCGCGCCAACGACGCGCCGCCCGATGCACTGGGCGCGAGGGCGCTGGCTACGCGAGCTGTGCGTCGACCTCGTCAAATCGGAAGCGTGGAAAGATGAGTTTCGTCGTGACCACAGAGTGATCAAGGCCCATTTAATAATTTTGTAAGATCATACTACCACACTGGACGGCGCTGAATGTTGCTAGCCCATTGCTAAGAGGCGTGGATTATTTTATTCTAGTGGAAAAGTGATGGTGATGGTATGGTGGTGATGGTGTGGTGGTGGTAGGCGAGGAGGAGGAAGTAGTGGAGGAGGTAGAGGAGGAGGAGGAGGAGGAGGAGAGAAGGAGGAAGAGAGGAGGAGAG